GACCCTTACACAATGAGGGGGAAAGATGATACGTTAGCAAACTCTAAGCCCAGCCTGATTCAGCCTCACATGTATTTTAATGTGTTAAGATATAAATTTTAAAATTGAACTCAAGGCCAGAGCCTGGTGCTGTCTGCATCCCTCACTGGCTTGGCAGGACATGGCGTGTGAGAAAACGTGTTCCAATCCTTCTCAGCCACAGACTAGCAAATCCCAAGAAGGCAAAGCATCTGCTGGTGTCTGAGCAGCACAAAAATGATAATATAATTTAAAAACAAGAACAAGCAAAAGGTTAGAAATAAGAGCTGGAACAATGAGCGGTCATTCCTCATACTGAACACCTGAGTAGCAGTGTCCCAACCTGGGACTTCTAAAGCAACACGGATATTTAGTGAGTGGCAGCATCTGGGATGCCAGTACCATTTAAAGCTGGTCCCAGCGCTCAGCTAACAGGGGGCCTTAAAGCTGAAGCCACCCTGTCTCTAGGTTCTCTCATAAGCCCACCCCGAGACGTGCATCTCCAGTAGAACCCTAAGTATTTATTCAATTGCATGAGGAGAAGCTTCTAGAACAATTGGAAAACTAGAAGCAGTCCAAGGTTCCATGGTTTCGAAGGTCGAGGCAAGATTATTTTAGGGTCTTCACACGCTAGATGCTCTAAGTGCAGTCAGGCTAATGTTGAAACACAAATGGTTCAGTCTACCCTGGGTGCTTCTTCAGGACCCGCCAGTCCTAGGGAGACCCCAGTCTCAGCGGATGCAAGACTTGAATTTGGCTCTATAGCTATCCCTGAAATTCAGTCCACTCTCTTCTTCATCAGGATCCATCAAGAATCCACTAAGTGGGGCCAGTCCATCTGGTCACACGACACACTGTCATTTTCCAGTGATTTCTTGGAGTGACAGTTGTTAATGAACATCCCATGACTTGAAAACTTACAAAATATATTATCTGTGTGTATGAAGAACACAAAACGTGGCCTTTGCTCTTTAAAGTCAGCGTGTGATTCAACCGTACAAGTCAATATCACAGTTTCATTGAGACCTTTCACTGTCCATCAGTGTCTGTCAGTCTATGCTTGTCTGGAGCCCTGGCAGCAAACCCAGGGCTTGCTCACTCTGCCTTACTCTTATCAGGTTCATAATTCCTTTATCCCATGGTCTATATCTGGCTTAGGTTTTTCAACCCTTGCTTATTTTTTTTTTTAACTTTCACATGCTGATTTGCTCATAATAGTTGTTCAACAAACACCCTTTGAATTGAATTATCTACTATCACAAAGACCTTGAGTCTAGAAAGGACTGTAGAAGAAAACAGGTGACTCTCTAGTCTGCCTTGTAAACAGAGCTCTCTATACAGATGACAACGTTAAGTGCTTTCTCGGTGTGACTGACCCTGGCATTCAACCCTCACTGTGACGAAAGGCCATTTCCACTTTGTCACTGGACACCATCTCATGTGTTTCTGTTCCTTCCAAAGCCATTCTCATATCTTCTTGTTGCTTTTTTAACTCGGGAACACGTTCAGGGTTTATCTTGCTGGGATACGTTTTTACCTGTTTTACAGATAAAATCGATGAGTTCCCGGAGGAGCTCAATAGCTCTCTGGGATGCGGCAGGAAAGCCCAAGGTGGGAGCCGCAGTGCTTTGCTTTCTGCTCCCCACACATTTTTCCTGCCAAAACTGTCAAGAAGGTTCTGCAATAACACTCGGTGCCTCGTTGGAGAAAATGAGAGCCTTCCTCGAGAGTAACACAGTGCGGTTTCTTATCATGCCAAAGAATTTTGGCAATTATGAGAGAAGAATGGTTGCCAGCATTACTTACAAATATGTATTTGATATTTTAATAATACGGGTCTGAAAAGCAAAGTACCTAACCATAAACAAGCTCCAAATAGCACAAAGCAATTACTTTGAAACTTGAAATAATT